TATTTTCATTATATTTAGAATTTAGATACTCATTCACCATGTCTTCAACCTCCAGACTCCATCATGTCACTGAGAGTGTGAACCTAAGCCCTACCATTAAATCGATAAGGTAACTTAAGTTTTAGGTAAATACTATAATAGTAATATATACTAAGTTTATATACAATAATATATACATATTTATATTATGTAAAATGTTTGTATTATTATTACATTGTTATATTGAGAGTAACACAAAATTAGTAATACTAACAATACATTTTCTTGAGATTTTATGAAAAGACAAAACTAACTTGTATACGGATAGAATAGTTTTTTTTAAATGTGAGATTTTCTTTTATGATAAAAAAACCAAGTAATTTGAATAATCCAACTATTAACACAAAAGCCAGCACATATTTAGTTTCTCGAAAAAAATGTACGCTTAGTGTACATTTCGCTTAAACAATTATAATATTATAGCAAAAATAAAAGTTTAAAAAAAATCATTTTAATTCTACTACTTTGCCTATGTTGAGGCTCGTTTAAGACAGTGTAGTTAAAATGAAAAGTATATTTCACTAAGACTAAATACAGTCTATTGGTTAAACACTTTTAGAAATATAGTATAATTGTTTATAGTTGTTAAATAATGCATTTGGGAAAAAAAGGGTTTTATTGTGTTATTTCGAATATTAAGCTTTGATACAAGAGTTTGGAATTTAATTTATTTGCCTCCGAAAATGCACGACAGTTTACCTTCACGCTACAAAGTACCTCCATCTGTGGCAATTTTAATTACCGAATATCAAAACTTGTTTGAAAATAATTAGTCGTTTTAAAATTTGTAATAATTACTTAAACAAATAAATTTGAGTATGAAATAAAATTGTATTCACAGTTTCAAAAATGTACTATCTGCCATATGGTCAAGGTGAAAAACAACAAAGAGTTAAATATTAATTTTACCAGTACATTTTCCCCTTACTTTTGTGATGACATTTCTACGAACAAATAATATAATATGTTATTGCCAATAGAACAAAGAGTACTGAATACTGCTAGAAATATACAGTATAACACGAGCAATTTAATTAACCTACTATCAGTTGACATGGATTAACTAATATGAGGAGTTCATTGATACCTTATTATTTTCATTATATTTAGAATTTAGATACTCATTCACCATGTCTTCAACCTCCAGACTCCATCATGTCACTGAGAGTGTGAACCTAAGCCCTACCATTAAATCGATAAGGTAACTTAAGTTTTAGGTAAATACTATAATAGTAATATATACTAAGTTTATATACAATAATATATACATATTTATATTATGTAAAATGTTTGTATTATTATTACATTGTTATATTGAGAGTAACACAAAATTAGTAATACTAACAATACATTTTCTTGAGATTTTATGAAAAGACAAAACTAACTTGTATACGGATAGAATAGTTTTTTTTAAATGTGAGATTTTCTTTTATGATAAAAAAAACCAAGTAATTTGAATAATCCAACTATTAACACAAAAGCCAGCACATATTTAGTTTCTCGAAAAAAATGTACGCTTAGTGTACATTTCGCTTAAACAATTATAATATTATAGCAAAAATAAAAGTTTAAAAAAAATCATTTTAATTCTACTACTTTGCCTATGTTGAGGCTCGTTTAAGACAGTGTAGTTAAAATGAAAAGTATATTTCACTAAGACTAAATACAGTCTATTGGTTAAACACTTTTAGAAATATAGTATAATTGTTTATAGTTGTTAAATAATGCATTTGGGAAAAAAAGGGTTTTATTGTGTTATTTCGAATATTAAGCTTTGATACAAGAGTTTGGAATTTAATTTATTTGCCTCCGAAAATGCACGACAGTTTACCTTCACGCTACAAAGTACCTCCATCTATGGCAATTTTAATTACCGAATATCAAAACTTGTTTGAAAATAATTAGTCGTTTTAAAATTTGTAATAATTACTTAAACAAATAAATTTGAGTATGAAATAAAATTGTATTCACAGTTTCAAAAATGTACTATCTGCCATATGGTCAAGGTGAAAAACAACAAAGAGTTAAATATTAATTTTACCAGTACATTTTCCCCTTACTTTTGTGATGACATTTCTACGAACAAATAATATAATATGTTATTGCCAATAGAACAAAGAGTACTGAATACTGATAGAAATATACAGTATAACACGAGCAATTTAATTAACCTACTATCAGTTGACATGGATTAACTAATATGAGGAGTTCTTTGATACCTTATTATTTTCATTATATTTAGAATTTAGATACTCATTCACCATGTCTTCAACCTCCAGACTCCATCATGTCAATGATAGTGTGAACCTAAGCCCTACCATTAAATCGATAAGGTAACTTAAGTTTTAGGTAAATATACACTAAGTTTATATACAATAATATATATATATATTTATTATGTAAAATGTTTGTATTATTATTACATTGTTATATTGAGAGTAACACAAAATTAGTAATACTAACAATAAATTTTCTTGAGATTTTATGAAAAGACAAAACTAACTTGTATACGGAGAATATTTAAAAAAAAATCATTTTAATTCTTCTTCACTTTCAATCACTCGTTATCAAGCAAACGCACACTATCACAAATCTGTCCATACAATTTCTGCGTTGTGTCGCGCACCGTGCAGTTTGCATTAAAATCACAATTGAAATAAAAGTTTTGATTTTTAATTAAGATTAAAATTTGTACACTCTGCTGAAGTTCTGTAAATCAGGCTAGTTAAATTCGATTTAACGCCATAGGAAAAGTGTGTCCATGGCAGATAAGGCCTTAGGTAAACTTATTAATTTTATAGGATGTCGATGAAGGTTAGTTTACAAAAAGCTTTAATACAAGTGTTGGGGTATTGATTTGTTTGCCTCTTAAAAAGCACGAAAGTTTACCTCCATGCTACAAAGTACCTCCATCTGTGGAAATGACTCGTTATCACACAAACACACACTATTTGTCCATACAATTTCTGCGTTGTCGTGCACTGTGCAGTTTGCATTAAAATCACAATTATTATAAAATAAAAGTTTTGATTTTGTTAGTAATTAAGATTTATTTTTGTACACTCTGAAGTTGTGTAAATCAAACTAGTTAAATTAGATTTAGCAATTTGTTTTCTGTATTGTCGCCACGGGTTTGATTCGTGAACAACTCTAGATTTTCATCATAATAACTTGGTCGAATTCTGTGATAAATACCAAACGTATTACGTTGTGTTTCTTTATTTCGTTTCAAGTTGCATTATATTTGAGTTTTGTCTTGCATGTCAATAATTTTTACAAGTTTTTATTAGCAGCTCTGGAAAGCAGTGAGTAACGTAATCCACTTATCTTTTCCTTTTTCTATACTTATAGCTTGTTTTTAGGCTATTATAAAACATAAGGGATAATATTATTTATATTAATATATACATATATAATACATAAGTAAAGATTATTACCACTTTAAATTTAGTCGGCCAAATGAGCTATTGTCCAGCTTAAATCTTTATGGTATTAGCTTTTTATCTAAAAGTCATACTTGTAGTTTTGTGTTATTGATCTAAATAAGATAAATTAAAATTTAGTTTTAAATTTTTAAAAAACACAAAATATACCTATGAACTTGAATTATGTTGTTCTCCTCTATAAACCCTTCGTTGGTATCGATGTTAGCGTTCCGTTATTAAACTTATTATAGAAACCACTTATACATATAATACCAGATTGTTTTAAAACCGCATCTACCTCTTATCAATATAATGTTAAATCAAAGTATCAAAAAAAAAAAAATTGTTATTTATTTGTGGGTATGATGACCGGTCGACGTCTGCAGAATTGCATAATGTCAGCTTACGCTTGCGTTTGCATGAGACTTACCGTGTTTATTTATATACATATATAAAAACATTCATACATTAAAATAGAAAAGAAATGCGAACAGGTGTAATTTTTTAAAATAAAAACTTAATGTTAACAGTTATAAAAAAAAAATAATGTAATAAGTAATGGGGTTTAGTTTAATTTTTATTAAATACATTTTTTAATTATCATAAATAAAAATTAAAAGTTGATAGAAATTTTTAATGAAATAGACTATAAGTAATGTCCTCATAGTAAAATACTTAAAACTTTATAAAAATATTATTAATTAGTTACATTTTCTTTACAAAGAGGTATTTATTATATGGATATGTCTCGTTTCTTATCTCTCATATTTTATTTCTAATATTATATCTCTACATTTTGTATCTACAATATCGTACATTTTATATCTTATCTATAATATCTCTAATCGCATATCTCTAATTTTTAGCCAGACATTAAAAATTATTTATCAGCTGTTTCATTCACAAAACATCCGCTTAATCGCGCCACACGCACACATTTCCCTCGGTAGCGTTCAGCGTCATTCAAGCATTTTCTTAATGTCCCCAAGCCAAAAGACATATCCATGTCAAAAATATAGTTTAGTCGTTTATGAGAATTTATTATTATTTCTGTCAAGTTTAAGATTAAAAGACGTCGGTCATAAAAAGTCTCAAGGTACTCAATGTAAAAGTGGACTTTAGATAGAGTACACTTTTTAAGTTTTAAATCTTATGGCACTCGGATGTTTATTGTCCATATTCTAATAAATGTGAACGTTACATTGTGTTATGTAGGATAAGTTTAGGCAACTCGATCAAATAAAAATTGAGTAAAGAAGACTTTTGTATGTCATCTAAAATTAATCAAATTAATTCTTAAAAAGGATGCGTTGTATATTTAATATTAAAACTTGCTGTATGACATCAAAATATATTTTTCTTAAATTAATTTGTTTTGTTTCAAACGTGTTGCAGTATTTATTTTTCGTGTAAAGCGACAGATATCTCAAATAATACAAAGACAATGGATTGTAGTTTTAACGAAACTATAGATAATAATTCTCAGAAAGATATATACAAAATACGTCGGTTCGACTGCAATATGTGTCAAAGGAGGTTTACAACCAAAAGTAATATAATCCGGCATATTGCGAAATCGCATTCCAGTACTTCCATTGAAAAGAAAACACCTCAAAAAAATAAAGTCAATCATCGTAACAGCAAAATCAAAGGAAATACTCGAAACAAAGATGGCCTATTTAATTGTGGTATTTGTTTGAAAACGTTTTCATTAAAATCAAGCCTAAGAAGACATTGGCGCGTTCATACCGGGGAGAAACCCTTTAAATGCGATATCTGTGAAAAAACATTTGGTAGACAACATCACCTCAAGATTCATAAACGCACACATACCGTCGAAAAACCGTTTAAATGCGATGTCTGTCAAAAGGCTTTTTGCGACCAATCTTACATCAAAATTCATAAAAGGATACATACCGGCGAGAAGCCCTTTAAATGCAATATTTGTGAAAAAAAATTTGGTCAGATATCTCACCTCAAAACTCATGAACGCATACACACCGCCGAGAAACCTTTTAAGTGCGATGTCTGTGAAAAAACATTCAGTCATCAATCTGCTCTCAAGAGACATGCACGTATTCATACCGGCGAGAAACCGTTTAAATGCGATGTCTGTGAAAAAACATTTAGTCTACAACAAAGTCTTAAAAAACATGAAAGGATACATACTGGTGAAAAACCTTATAAATGCGTTGTCTGTGAAAAAACATTCAGTCAACAAACTCATCTCAAGAACCATGCACGTATTCATACCGAAGAGAAACCCTTTAAATGCGATGTCTGTGAAAAATGTTTTAATATACAATCTAACCTCAAAGTTCATGAAAGAACACATACCGGCGAGAAACCATTTAAATGCGATGTCTGTGAAAAAATATTCAGTTTAAAGTCCTCTCTCATAATTCATGAACGCATACATATTGGTGGGGTACGATACAAATGCTCAGCCTGTGACAAATCATATGGTCGCCAAGATACTCTCAAAAGGCATCAAGCAAAAGCACACGGCTCATAGTTTCATAAACCTTACGTGACTATTTGGCAGTTTTTCAAAATCGATTTGTTATTATTTTGCAATTTTTTTTACTTACGATTTATTTCAGATTTAGTATACTTTTATTAGTTTTCTTATAATATTTAATTTATTACTATCGGTTAACAGATCAATAACATAAGTATTAGTTTTTAATTTATTTTTTCGACGGATCACATGAATTATTTAGTATTTATATTTTTATAATGTATTTTTTAATTTTCATAATCTACACACACAAAATGCTAAACAATTTTGTTACTATTCTTATTTTTTATTATAAAATGTTAGTAGTCTTTTTAGTTACAGATGGTTTTGAAGAGAATGGTTTATAATATATGTTAATTTGTATTTTAAAATTGATTTTTAATTTAAAATATTTGTTAATTTTTGAGCATTGAATTATGCGAACCATGTTTAAAATCAAAATAAAATATTTTATTATTTCGTCATTTATGATTACATTATGTTAGTTTCATTCATATTTTTAGAATAAGTTTTTCGTTTTTTTAATTCGAAGAATTATTAAGATTGAACGACAGTAAACCAAACCTGACCATTATTAATAAATGTCATTCGGGAAAGTAAGGAGAATATGCCTACTTCCATATATACGTTTATTATTAAATAATTAGTAAAAATAATTTTGTTCAATATATTTGTGTGATTAGTTCCCAAGAAAACATAATACCGTGTTTGAGAGTAATAACATTAGTTTTATTTTGAGACTTTTTTTTTATAAACATCTTTTTCAAATAATTATTAAATATTGGAATTTTAAATGATTTATGTACATGGATAAATTATATGACCATAATGAACAAACTGTTTAAGTGTTCGTCAAATATCGTCTATGTTTAAAGAACTATTCGTAAGTGCCACTTTTGTTTGGGCATGCACCATTTTGACGTGGCTAAACATGTTCGTCTAAGACATCGGCTATCCGCCTCTTTGATTGTGACATATTTAATTTGACGGGTTGTTAAATTACTCCGCCTTGTTGAGGCTCGTTTCAGACAATGTAGTTAAAATGAAAAGTATATTTCACTAAGACTAATACAGTCTAATGGTTAAACATTTTTAGAAATTTAGTATAATAGTTTGGTGTTTTAAATCGTAAAATATAGAAGCATTTGAAAAAAAAAGGTTTTATTGTGTTATTTCTTTTAATAAGCTTTGATACAAGAGTTTGGAATTCAATTTATTTGCCTCCGAAAATGCACGACAGTTTACCTTCACGCTACAAAGTACCTCCATCTGTGGCAATCACTCGTTATCAAACAAACGCACACTATCACAAATCTGTCCATACAATTTCTGCGTTGTATCGTGCACTGTGCAGTTTGCATGAAAATCACAATTGAAATAAAAGTTTTGATTTTTAATTAAGATTAAAATTTGTACACTCTGCTGAAGTTCTGTGAATCAAACTAGTGAAACAATTAGATTGAGCGCCCTAGGTACAATTGGTTTTCTGTATTGTCGCCACGGCCCCGCTTCGTGAGAATATCTAGATTTTAATCATAATTACTTGGTCGAATTCTGTGATAAACACCTAACGTACTGCGTTGTGTTTCTTTATTTCATTTCAAGTTGCGTTACAATTGAGTTTTGTCTTGCATGTCAATAGTTTATTATAAGTTTTCAGTAGCAGCCCTGGAAAGCGGATTACGGTTCTACGTTGTGTGAGTACCTATTGTTTTGTATTTCTAATTTATATACATTATTGCCGTGTTTACTGTCTGCCGCGGACTTAAAACACTGCTTGTGAATAAAAAGAATCATAATTTATTTGGTAGCTTGTTACTTATTATTTATCCGGAGTTGAGTAGAGTAATATGGGATCAACACCATTTTTAATTAATCTAGTTGGCAAAATGGGCAATCGTCTAGCTTTGATCTGTATTGTGTTAGCTTCTTACCTACAATTCATGCTTGTAGCTTTGGGTTATTAATCTTACTTTATTTGTTACTTAATAAAATAGTTTAAATTGTGCAATTTATTTGTCCTATTTAACCTATATGGATATACGATACAGAAATAACACTTGTGTTAAATGTCAATTATAGAGTTTTGAAGCGGTATAATATGTTGAAAATTAAAGATGAAATTGATGAAACAGAAAAACACTTCTTTGAAACAACGTTTGGAGCCGTTGAAACAAAACCGTTGGATGAGCCGTTTGAAAACAATGAAATATCTACAACAGAGGAGTATTTGGTGAAGAATGAAGTCGACAATACTTATGAGTAAGGCTATTTGTATTAATATTTTGTGTTTACTAAATAAAACAAAAAAGCTTTTGTAATGCTGTAGTCCGCTGTAGTGATTCGCATTATGATATGTCCAACAATAAACACCAAACTGACAAGTTGGTAAATGAAACACAGTATAAAACCCAAATATATTCAATTCAGCTGTAAGAATTTGATCATGTAAAAATTTACCACTGAAAAATTGGTTGGTTTTTATTTTCAAAATAATGTAAACTAAATTATTCTTTTTTATTATGTTCAAGCTTCAGGCACTTAGTCAGTAAGCTGTCTTCTTTGTTATATCATTATTATTACTATATTTGTTACTAAATAAAATAGCTAAAATTGTACAATTTAGTCGTCCTACTAATCCTCTATGCATATATAGCACAGAAATACAACTAATGTTAAATGTCAATTATAGAGTTTTGAAGCGGATTAATATATTGAAAATTAAACCTGAAAATGATGAAACAGAAGAAGAGTTGTTGGAAAAATCGTTAGAAGTCGTTGATACCAAACCGTTAGATATGAAGTTCATAAACAATGAAATTTCTACAACAGAAGAGTGTATGGTTAAGAATGAAGTCGACAATAATTATGAGTAAGGTTATTTTTATTACCATTTTTTTTTTCTTAAATAAAACTTTAAAACTTTTGTAATTATGTTATCATCCTCCATAAACCCATCATTGGTATCGTTGTTAGCATTTCGCTATTATGAAACTTATATTAGTAACCACTTGTTCATATAATAATATATTATTTTAAAATCGCATCTACCTCTTATCAATATAATGTTCAATCAAAGTATCAAAACAAAAAAAAATTGATATTTATTTGTGGGTATGATGACCGGTCGACGTCTGCAGTATCCCATAATGTTAGCTTACGCTTGCGTTTGCATGCGACTTACCGTGTTTATTTATATACATATATAGAAAACATTCCTACATTAAAATAGGAAAAAAATGCGAACAGGTGTGATTTTTTAAAATAATGTTACTAATGTTTACTTAATGTTAATAGTTATAAAAAAAAATAATGTAATAAGTAATGGGGTTTGTTTAATTTTTATTAAATACATTTTTTATTATCATAAATAAAAATTAAAAGTTCATGGAAAATTTTAATGAAATAGACTATAAGTAATGTCCTCATAGTAAAATACTTAAAACTTTATATAAATATTATTAATTAGTTACATTTTGTTTTCTTTTCAAAGAGGTATTTATTATATGGATATGTCTCGTTTCTTATCTCTCATATTTTATTTCTAATATTATATCTCTACATTTTGTATCTACAATATCGTATATTTTATATCTTATCTTATCTATAATATCTCTAATTTTTAGCCAGACATTAAAAATTATTTATCCGAAATTTTCATTTCTGCCGAGTTAAGGGTTAAAAGACGTCGGTCATTAAAAAGTCTTAAGGTGCTCAATAGGGTGGTTCTTATTTATGAACTTTTAAAACTTTAATGGGCTGCTCCGCAATTTTGTTCATTATTATGAAAAAAAAATTTGGGTAGAATTTGGTTTTGATAACTCACCCCCTTCACGTGCCGCAAGGGGGTTGAGAAATGACCGAATGGGGTAGTTTTATAGTTTTTTGAGTTTAAATAAAAAAATTATTGCATTTAGCATAAAATTACATATTAACTTTATGATAAATCATTAAATTCTCTATAAAAAAGGTTTTCACAATTTTTTCCAAAAATGCATTATTATCCAAGAAAAAAAATAAAACATAATTTTTTTCATTTACGATGAACGATTGGAAATCGAGTAAAACAAAATAGTTTATTATACAAAATTAAATTTTCTACAAAATAGATCATTAGGAAAAATTTCATACGATCAACCATTATGTATTTAAAGATCGTTTAAACAAATATATTGTGAAAAACGAAAATTATCGTTAGAAAAAAAAGTATAGAAATCTACCCGGGAACGAAATAAAATAATCATATTTTTTCCTATAAAAATGTTTTCCAAATAAATGAAAAAAATTATGTTTTATTTTTTTCTTGGATAATAATGCATTTTTGGAAAAATTTGTGAACACCTTTTTTATAGAGATTTTAATGATCTACCATAAAGTTAATATGTAATTTTATGGTAAATGCAATAATTTTTTATTTAAACTCAAAAAACTATAAAACTACCCCATTTGCTAATTTTTCAACCCCTTGCGGCACGTGAAGGGGGTGAGTTATCGAAACCAAATTCTACCCAAATTTTTTTTTCATAGTAATGAACAAAATGGCGGGGTAGCCCATTGGAAAACTTTTAAAAAAAATTCTTCATCTATGACTAAGGACCACCCTAGTGCTCAATGTAAAAGTGGACTTTAGATAAAGTACACTTTTTAAGTTTCAAATCTTATGTTATTCGGACGTTTATTATCCATATTTTATCAAATGTGAACGTTACATTGTATTTTATAGGATAAGTTTAGGCAACTCAATCAAATAAAAATTGCCTTAATAGTAGATCATCATATGTCATGTAAAACCAATAAAATTAACTCTTTAAAATGATGCGTTGTACATTTAATATTAGTAATATTAATACTTGATGTATAATATCAAAATATATTTGTCTTAAATTAATCTATTATGTTCCATACATGTTGCAGTATTAATTTTCCGTGTAAAGCGACCGATACCTCAAACAATACAAAAACCATGGATTGCAGTTTGAACAAAACTATAGAAAACGATTCTGAGAAAAACATACACAAATTACGTCGGTTCGACTGCAATATATGTCAAAGGAGGTTTATAACCAAAAGTAAAATAATCTGGCATATTGCGAAATCACATTCCAGTACTTCCATTGAAAAGAAAGCACCTCAAAAAAATAAAGTCAATCATCGTAACAGCAGAATCAAAAAGTATACTCAAAACAAAGATGGCCTATTTTATTGTGGTATTTGTTCGAGAACTTTTTCATTAAAATCAAGCCTGAGAAGGCATTGGCGCGTTCATACCGAAAAGAAACCCTTTAAATGCGATATCTGTGATAAAACATTTGGTAGACAATCTTACCTCAAAACTCATGAACGCATACATACTGGTGAAAACCCGTTTAAATGTGATGTCTGTAAAAAATGTTTTAATGTACAGTCTAACCTCAAAACTCACGAAAAAACACATACCGGCGAGAAACCATTTAAATGCGTTGTCTGTGGAAAAACATTCAGTCAACAAATTAGTCTCAAAATTCATAAACGCATACATACCGGTGAGAAACCATATAAATGCGTTATCTGTGAAAAAACATTCATTCAACAATCTGATCTCAAGAAACATGCTCGTGTACATACCGGTGAGAAACCTTATAAATGCAATGTTTGTAAAAAATCCTTCATTCAACAGCCTGATCTCAAAAAACATGCACGTGTACATACCGGCGAGAAACCATTTAAATGCCGTGTCTGTGAAAAAGCATTCATTCAACAATCTAATCTCAAGAGACACGCACGCATACATACCGGTGAGAAACCATATAAATGCGTTATCTGTGAAAAAACATTCATTCAACAATCTTGTCTCAAGAAACATGCTCGTGTACATACCGGTGAGAAACCTTACAAATGCGATATCTGTCAAAAAACATTCATACAACAATCTAATCTCAAGAAACATGTACGTATACATAACGGCGAGAAACCTTTTAAATGCGATATCTGTAAAAAGTCTTTTTGTGACCAATCCAACCTAAAAACTCACGAAAGAACACATACCGGGGAGAAACCTTATAAATGCGTTGTCTGTGAAAAAACATTCGGTCAACAATCTGATCTCAAGAAACATGCACGTATACATACCGGCGAGAAACCATTTAAATGCGATGTCTGTGAAAAAACATTCAGTCAAAAGTCCAATCTCATCATTCATGAACGCATACATATTGGTGGGGTACGATACAAATGCTCAGCCTGTGACAAATCATATGGTCGCCAAGGTACTCTCAAAAGTCATCAAGCAAAAGTACACGGCCCATAGATTCATAAACCTTAATTGACTATATGGCAGTTATAAAATTGTTTTTCGAAATCTATTTGTTATTATTTGCAATTTTTTTTTCTTGGCATTTAATTCAGATTTTATATATTTTTATTAGTTTTCTTAAAATATTTTAAATATTACTATCGTTTAACTGATCAATAATATATACACTTGCACAAAGGCATTTAGTGAAACCAATATGTTTTTATACGTGTTTAGCGTGTAATCAACATGTTATATAATTTGGCAATTTAGTTTCACTGTTAAAAATTGAGTAACTGAAGATTGTACAAACATTACCAATAGATACCAATGTATTTAGTATTTATGTTAGTTGGTAGAAACATATGTATCCATATAAATTTATTTTTAATTCTTAAATAAAATGAACAAACATGTGCTTAAATT